CGTCGCATCCAGCCCGGGTAAGCTGGGGGAAGATGGGGATGGAGCAGGCGGGGAAGCCCCAGACTGCCTCGTAGGCGCTGACCACGCTCTGTCCCCGCAGGGCTCCACGCTGCCGGCCGCAGGCCACGCGCCGCCGGTACCCGCTGCCTCAGGCCCGGCCTGCCCTGCCGCTGTGCCTGTCCACCGCCCGCTGGGAGGGCAGCTCGCCCCGCAGCGCGCCTTGGGCCCGCCGCGCCGGCCCGCTCCGCAGCCCCGTCACCGTGAGGATCGCCCCGCCGGGCGCCGGCATCGCCCGCTCCCCGGCGTGAGTACGGGGGGRACCGGGACACACCTGGGGGAACCTGGTTATCACCTGCAGTGGGTACTGGGACAAACCGGGGGGAGYCCGGTTATCACCGCTCTGCTACCTGTGCTGTGCCCGGGAGCAGCATCCCGTCCTGAGCGCTCTCTGTATGGCTGGGAGGATGGTGCTGTACAAACCTCTGGGAAGGTAGAGCCTGTACCCCCTTCTGTTGGGGGGGGGGGGGATCAGATCTGAGATCCCAGCGGCCTCACATCTTGCTTTGCTCTTTTYCACAGTATGGAGCAGCTGGTCTCACCTCTAGCCTTCCCGGCCACCAGCAGCCCTGACCCGTGTGCAAAGGAGACTGTGCTGAATGCCATCAGGGAGAGCAGGAAAAGGGCCGTGGAGGAAGAGGAGGAGGAGGAGGACCAGCCTTTTGGGAACGATCAGGAGAGCAAAAGAAGGTAAAAAGGCAGCAGTTCAAGTTGCAGCCAGTTTGTTGGGAAAGTCACAAACGGGACTCTCGCTCCAGAGGTGACAAGTGGGATATGTCCCAKGGTGTGCCAGCCACCTTGAGATCCTGAGTTAGGGCTGGAAAAGTACAGTGGGAAATGAACTGCAGAAAGGAAGCACACCATATCCATCATCCAGACTTTGGTGCTGCATCCAAAAATCTTCCAAGGCTTTGAGATCAAAGGGATGCGTTTTATGTGTGAATCCAGTGTGTTCACATGCCTGACTAGGATGTCTTTTGGGAAGCCTGGTTGGTACGTGGCTTCTCATGGGGGTTTGCGGACTGGAAAAACATGGTGGGGAGTGTTGATGTCTGTTGTGGGCTCTTATTCAGCCAGTCCCAGGAGAGGTGGGATCACASGGTGGAAGCATCACACTTGGAGAGCTCCATGCACTTCCCTCAGGTGCCGATCTAGTAAATGGAGGTGAAGCAGGAGGGCAAACAAGAGACACTGCTGCTTTTGTTACTCAAGGTCAGCAACTTCCATTATTGCATTTTAAGGAAGGGAGGTGCTGTGTCTTTGCYAGTATCCCAGTAAGGACAAGGAGTAAATTCTGACAGCCACAGTCTGTCAAAGCCTTTCCAGCTACACAGGCTGGAAAGCACTACCTTGCTATATTGCCCTCCTGCTTCCCATAGAATCACAGGATGATTTGGGTTGGAAGAGACCTTGAAGCTCAACCAGTTCTACTCTGTGCCATGGGCAGGGACACCTTTCACTAGRTCAGGTTTATCCAAGCCCCATCCAGTGTGGCCTTGAAGGCTTCCAGGGATAAGGCAGCCACAGTTTCTATGGGCAGCCTGTGCCAGGGCCTCACCACCTTCCCAGGGAAGAATTTATTCTGTGTATCCAACCTAAATTGCCCTGCTTTCAGTTTGAAGTTTTCCCTTTTGTGCTGTCACTGCACTTCTTGATGCAGTCCCTCTTCAGCTTCCTTGCAGGTCCATTCAAATCCTGAAAGGCTGCTGAAACCTCCACACTACTTTCTCTACTTTAGGCTAGACAGTCCTGCCATCTCAGCCTGTTTCCATAGAGAAGGTGCTCCAGTTCCCTTACGAACTTTGTAGSTCTCCTTGGGACTTGCTCCAGCAGTTGCTTCATCCTTCCCAGTTGTGTCCATGGAGGCTGTTCCCTCTGGGCTGGGGTGGGGAGCTGAGACATTGCTTTRGCAGTGCCTGTGGCATTGTCCTGCACCAGGGCTGCTGCTGGAAGCAGTCCTAAGAGCACGGTAAAGCAGGGCACACCATCCTCCTCCAGYACTGAGTTCCCATCTCTGAATGCTTGGCTCACTGAATCTGAGCCCCACAAGCCAAGCAGGGTAACAACAGGATGAGTGCACAGAGAGGATCAGCTCTGGGTATTTTTCTTTTAAACTTTTTTTAATATGTCAATATAGAGCTCTGCCACAAAAGCCAATTTTCAAGGYATTAGCGTCTGGCAAGCACAAGGAYTGCTTGTAGGCAAAAAGTTCCATGTCCTTGGAGGACAGAAAGGAGCTGTGTCAGCTGGAGAGTGTGTGATTGSCTGTGCTTTGGGGTCAGCATGCTTRGAACCTGAGGGGAGCACCTGGCCAGGTGCAAGCGCTGTTCTACACCTCCAGCTCTTCTTCACAACAGCGTTGCTTTTGTGATTTTGACACTTCAGATCCCCATGAAATCATAGCAGGAAAGGGAATTCAGTTTCTCACTTGGAACAGCCCAGGGTACTGGTTAGGAAGAGGTCAGAGATGGGAGTTTCAGAGCTCAGGTCTGTTCAGAGAGACTTGGCAGCTCATTTCTGAAATTATTTTGGCTTAGAGTAATGGTTTCAACAAACATAGGGTTTGGGGTTTTTTTACACCCCAACTACTGTGCCCATCAGGCATCTGGGAGAGCKCCTGTGTTTGGGATGAAAGTTGGTGAGGACAGGCCCTGGAGGAGAGAAAATCCACAGCAGGATATGGATGGGGGAAAGCTCTGCACTGGCTCTTGGGTGCCAGGAAAAAAGCAAGGTTTGAGCTCTCTCTGGGTGYTCAGCCTGTCTTGCCCCAGGCTGGAAGAGGCTTCCCCGCTGCCACAGGCTTCTACCTTCTCTTTCACAGGCGCCACGACAGCAGTGGAAGTGGGCAGTCAGCATTTGAGCCACTGGTAGCTAATGGTGCCCCTGCCTCTCTCATACCCAAGTAAGTGCCCACTGGGCTAAAAGCATCTGCTGGCATGGGAGGGAGCAATGTCTGTGGGATCTGGAAAAAGGGGCTTGGGTTTTGCTTGCAAAGTTTGACTTTGGGGCAGATCAAGAGAGTCTGTGGTTGTGCCTTGAGTGTGTCACTCTATGACAGCAAGTCTGTGCTGCTTCTGAGGGTTGTTTCTAAGCCCTGTGCTGTAAGAAGGTGGAGGATTGCCTTCCACCATGGRAAGAACTGGTGGACAGGAGCAGTGAAGAGCTCATCAAACCTTGATCCTCCTCCAGGCCAGGCTCTCTGAAGAGGAGCCTCGTCTCACACTGCCCCGATGACTGCTCCAACAAGAGGTCTCGCACCTCCTCTGTAAGCTCCCTCAACAACACCTACGCAGGTGGTATCCCCAGCTCCATCCGCAACGCCATTGCCAGCTCCTACAGCTCCAGCCGGGGTCTCGCACAGGTAGGGACACTAGCTTGACATTGTTTTGGGATCACCCATGTGATTCTAGCTCCGGGCTTGTGAGGAGACACTGGTGTGGCTGGGTRTCTGGACCCAGTGTGGCTCAGCCTGGCGATCGGGTGGGCTGTGGGCCATGGGCCAGGCAGCAATTACCTGTTTTTTGGAGTCCCAGGCGGAGCTGTCCTGCTGCTTTYACAGCAAACCAAGAATGAGGCTTTTTCTCTGCTTCCTCATCCTTGGCCCATCTGCTAGACTGGATAGATCCAGGTRAAAGAAAAATATACTTTTGCTGCACTGGCACCTTTTAAGCTGGAGTCAGCAGTGTGGGAGCTGTGTKTTCCTGCTCTGACCCAGGTCCCACCTGCTGACTGTGATGGAGCACTGTGGCCTGTCTGGGCTTGCAGATGTGCCAGGGACACATAGCCATGGCCACTCTGGAGTTCTGTCTGTGTAGGGAAAGGTTTGCTCCAGGCAGTGGTAGGAAGGGGTTTGCTGGGGCTGCAGAGAGTCCAATCCTTGCATTGGGATTCATCTGCTTTGAGCTCCTGGCAAGGAGGTGCTGGCTTCTGCAGGAGCAGCCCCACACACGAAGATGTCCAAAGCAGTGGGTGGCCTCTGCTTGTGTCACATGAAGGCAAGAGCTGGCCCAGCAGCGTCTTCTCTCCGTGTGCCCAGCCAGGGCTGTAAAGGTCCTGGAGGGTGCTTGCTCCCCATGTGGTTTCAGCTTGGGGTGGCCAGACTTTGCGCTCCCAAAAATGTGGAAGGGAGTTAAGTGGTGGAAAAAGCTCTGGACTSAGTGGGCTTAATTGCTATGGCCCTAGGCAATGGGGCTTAGTGTGGGTGAGCAGGGGTAGGGGGGCTGTGCTCTCTGCCAGCCCCACACCAAGTTATTGCTGATGTCTCTCTGCATTCCAGCTGTGGAAGAAAAGTGGTGTGAGCATGTCCCCCCTGTCCAGCCCAGCATCCTCCCGCCCCCAGACGCCGGAGTGGCCTCTCAAGAAAGCCAGGTAACCAGCCTSTTCACTCATGCCAGCTGGCAAGGGAGCAGTCCTTCCTAGCCATCCTAGCATACAAGTCCCACTTTCCACCCTAGTCCAGGCCCTGCTTCATAATGATGTGGAGTCTTACTTGTTTTGATTCCCTGTCACTTTGTCATGCTGTGGCACATCCAAGCTGTGCCATCCGTGGCCCGCTCCCAGGCCAGGTCAGAGATATAAGGGCTAAGGTTACTACAGTGGTGATGGTGCCTCGTGGCATTGGCACGGCCTGAGTTGCCATTGGGAAGAGACAGGCCCTGATTTTTTCCATTTCAGAGTCAAATCCCGGGATTTGTGTGTTAGTGTCTGCCTTGGAGCRCAACCGGTGTTCTCTTTCCTAAGTCAGAGGGGCCTGAGCTCGTGTCAGAGCTAAAACTGACACAACCACCTGGGTGGCCTGGCCTACGAGGGGCAGTGACTCCCACCACAGGCTCCCAGCAGCCCCCCTGAGGCTGACTCGTCTTGTGAAGGGTGCAGAGACTCAGCCAAGCTGAGTCTGCAGCAAGAAGCAACTCTGCCTGGAGCTGAGCTAAGCTTTTATCCTAYGATCTGTTTGCAGGAGGCAAATAAAGACACAAGGGATATTCATGGGAGTCTTCAGCATGTTCYGTCTCATCCTGTTCCCTGGGGACAGAGTTGAGCCCCATGTTGACCCTAACTGCCTTTCTGCTCACACAGGGAAGAGGAGTTGCATCGTTCCAACGCTTCCACTCCAGTGAAGTCAGACAAGGAGCTACAGACAGAGAAAGGTGAGCATAGGTGTGCCCTGACACTGTACCCAGGTTGGATGGGTCATTGGTGTGAGCAAGAGCAGGACAGGAGCTAGCTGAAATCTGCAGTGGGACTGATTTGAGAGGTCACCTGGAAACTTGGCATGTGCCATTYCTAAGGCGGTGGCACTTCTGCTGGCCTCAGTGACTGCCCTAGTGGGATTTTCAGGTGATGAGGGGTGCTGACATTGTCAGGGTTCTAGCAGATGCCTGGGAGCTGGCTTGCAAGGGGGAACTCCAGTTCCTAACCCAGCATGGGTCAGGTGTCAGCCTTGGTCCAAGACTTGCTGTAGTATGAATAGCATCCTGACCAAATTCTAGGCTAAGCTTATTCCAATGCTTGCTCAGCTAAATTAGGGAGGAAATCCTCTGTCCCCATGGCAGATGGGCCCCATGATACGATGCCATCTGTGATACATGGTTTGGGTAGACAGTGTGTTGGCACCATCCATGGAGCTAGGAAGAGGCCACTGCTGCACAGAGCCCCTCCAGCATCTTGTCACACACTGACAAGCTGCTCTTCCAAGGCATCACAACCGTGTCCTCACCTTCAGGCCATGCTCCTGTCTCTGCCCTCTTGAGTGGGGCCATCCAGAGAGCAATCAGAAGGGGCAGCCCCGTTGCTACAACCAKACACCTCTCTGCTCAGAGCTGGGCTTGACTTGTCTCCTTCTGTAGTGATGGAGTCACCAGTGTGGAAGAAGCAGAATTCCCTGAGCCCGTCGTCTACGTCAGGGAGCAGTGGGAAGCGCAAGCGGAAGATCCCGTTACTGTCATCTCTCCGTGGGGACCAGCTGGTGCTGGTACGTCGCTGTCTCGCAGCCCTTTTGGCCCCTCTCTGGCAATAGAATGTGCTCACTGCAATTTCTGCAGGGCTGGGGGCACACTGACCTGCCTGCCCTCAGGAAGGAGGCCCCGTCCTTGGCCGAGTGGGAAGTGACGCTCTCCCCAGCCCCAGTGTCTGGTGGGCTGTGCGTGGTTGTGCTGCCTGCTGCCGGACCAGGTAATGGCCTGGGGAAGGCCTGCCATGCCCTCAGTGCCACGCYGGGGGCCCACCGAAACTGGGGACCGGAGCTCCACGGTAGCTGCGGCAGAACCACCTGCTTCATGGGGCTCGCCACAGCCAGTCGCCAGCACACCTTCAGAGAGGCTCTGCCCGCTTCCCTGGGAAGGAGCTAAGCTGCTGCTGCTCTCTCTTGGCAGCCCCCGCCGCCTCAGCTGGGCTACTCCATCACCTCGGAGGATCTGGATGCAGAGAAGAAGGCAGTGCTGCAGTGGTTCAACAGTGTCTTGGAGGATAAGGCTGGTAAGGATGGGCTCGGAATGTGGAGGGGTAGGAGCAAGCCCAGGGCTGGCAGGCCAGGAAGCTCCAGGGCGAGTTCCGTCTTGGGTCTGGGAGTGCTCTTGATGCCTTCCAGCTGAGGAGATCTCATGCCTTGTGGTGCTGGGTGAGGTTCCCAGGGCTGTAGGGTGTGGATGCCATTTCCCTGCTGGGAAGCTTCTGTTAAGGTTTTGTTCCCCACAACCAGTTGTGGGTCCTGATTTTTTACTGCTTCCCTGTAGATGCAGTTCCCAGCACCACTGCAGAGACGACACCTGTGTCCAGGCCGCTGGCATTTGCTGTGACCTCCCCAGGGCCTACGCCTGCCTCCACAGCTGCCCCATCYAGCTCCTCGCTCCTGGACAGCCTGAAGAAGATGCAGAGCAGTCAGGCTGCACCCACAGCACCAGGTGAGGAGGAGGAGTGTTAGCAGAATGGAATGCCAGCAGAGCCGGGCTGTTGCAGCAGGAATTCCATGTTGCCTCTGAGTRAGGCAGGTGACAAAACCCCTTGTTCAAATGCTCTGCTGGCAACAGAGCTGGCAGGCACGGCTTGAGGGGACACCTTTGGGGACACTGAGCCCCTGGTCCTGATGTAGTCTGGGGTAAGCATGGAGGGCTGGGTCTGGTGGATGCTGCTCTGGGAGCCTTTGCAGCAGCACGTTGCTACTGGGCAGAAGGATAGGATTTTGAAGGTGCTCCCTGTCCGTAAATAATCTCTCTTCCCTTTCCAGACTTCACTGGAGCTGTGGCAGCATCCCTACCACCTCCATCAGCTGGACAGCCTCCTGTGCCCACTGTGTCACTGGAGTCGAGCTCTCTGCCTGCCAGCTCTACTGACACCAAGCCTGTGCCCGTGTTGAGCACACCTGTGCCCAGTGCGCCTTCTGCCCTGCCTGTGCAGCCCCCCAGCAGCCTGGCCCCTCCTGCATTCACTGAGCAGAGCCAGACCCCCAGCAAGCCTCCCTCCTTCCCAAAGCCTGTCCTGTTTGGGATGCTCAACACTCCTCCAGCCAGCCAGCCAGCAGTGACCACAGCCACTCCTGCGCCCACCACAGCCACTGCTGCRCCCACTGCATCCACTGCTGTTCCTACCACAGCCACTGCTGTGCCCACCCCACCCGCTGCTGTGCCCACCACAACCCCCACGTTCAAGCTTATCTTCGGTGCCGTGCCGAAGAGTGAGAGCACAGCTGTCACCTCCATCACAGCCACCATCTCTGCAAGCTCAGGCCCTGCCTTGACGTCCTCCACATCGACCATATTCAAACCCAGCTTTGGCAGCATCACTGCAGCTTCATCTCCAGTGAAAGTCTCTCCCTTTGCCTTCAAACCTGTGGCACAGCAGGCCACAGAACCACCAACTGCCTCCACAACTACCGTGGCAGGATTCGTGGGTCTTCCCAATGTCATTTTCACCACTGCAGCTACAACTGCCACCACCCAGAGTTCCTCCACTGATGCCACCATTAAACCTGTTTTCAGCTTTGGACTGAACCCACCTGCTTCCACTGGCCCTGCTGCCAGTGTGACCATCTCTGCTGCCACCTCCACCAGCACAGCACAGCCCTTCCTGTTTGGGGGCCCAGTCAACTCTACTCCCAGCACGGAAACCAGCTTTGCCACCCTAGGGTCTGTGTTCCAGTTTGGGAAGCCACTCCCAGCCACAGTCACTGCCACCACCAGTGTCTCAGGAGGCCCTGCCTTCGGCCAGGCACCTTCAAACTCAACAGTTGCTGCCACCACTGCGGGCTTTAGCATATTTGGAAGCACYACATTGGCCTCCTCTGCTCCAGCCACCACAGCTCAAGCACCACTGACATTCGGCTCCTCCATTTCAGCTTTTGGCAGTTCTTTCAGTGCCAGTGCAAAGCCACCACCACCCTACCCTGGCASTGGGAGCCAGCCCAACTTCAGCACTGGGCCTGCAGAGAGCCAGGTGCCTGCCAGCAAGCCGGCTGCTGGCCCCATCAGCTTCACCCCCCCATTCAGTTTCGGAGCCCCCCCGGCACAGTCGGTGGCTCAGCCAGCATTTGGCAGTGGTGCCCCGCCAGCCTTTGGCACGACCAGCACCCAGGGCTCCTTCGGCACCAGCAACAGCCAGACAGCATTCGGGACCACCACCTCGGTGTTCTCTTTTGGAACAGCCACTTCCACCACATCCAGCTTTGGTGCCACCACCCAGACCACAAGCAGCAGCACCGGTGCTGCTGTCTTTGGCACCACCCCATCTCCATTCACCTTTGGGGCCAGCACACAGCCAGGCCCCTCTGCTGGCACCTTTGGGATGGGTACGGCGGGCCTCASCAGTGGGTCCCCGGCTGTGGCCTTCAACTTCGGAGCGGGGCAGAGTGGGGCAGCCCCAGCAGCAACACCATTCGGCTCATCTCTGCCACAGAGTGCACTGGGAGCACAGGGCCAGAGCACGCCCTTTGCCTTTACCATGACCAGCACTCCCAACARCAAGCCTGTGTTTGGAGGTGAGTCATCCTGGAATCATGGAATGGTTCATGTTGGAAGGCACCTTAAAGATCATTTTGTTTCACCCCCTGCCATGGGCAGGGACACTTTCCACTAGACTAGGTTGCTCAGAACCCTGTCCAGCCTGGCCTTGAACATTTCCAGGGTGGGATGGGGGTGGACAGACCATCTTGGGGTTCTAGAGTTGGGCAGCAGTACTCCTGATGGACCTTGCCAAGCTCTTGGGGTCTACAGCCCWGGCAAGGTCAGTGCTTGTGCTATGCAGAGCCTTGCCATACAAAGGGAAGGCACTACTATCACTCCCTGTCAGGATCCTGGCCCTCCAGGGAAGGGAATCTCTAAACTGTGCTTGCTAGCCCCTCTGAATGCACCAGCTTCCAAAACTATGCCTGTCCATGTATCCTGCAGGAGCCAAGATCATCCCAGTCCTTAACAGCCACCTGCAAATCCCTGGCAAGTGGGAAGCTTCCAGCCAACAACTGCCATCACTTTGTCCTTGCTCTCAGGGTTACCCCTCAAACTTCACATCCTCACTGGATGTTCCCAGCTCCTGTAGAACTGAAACCCACACATACTGAGCAACTCCTTGATCTAGAAAGGCCAAGATATTTTTTCCTCCTTGGCAAATTCTGTGCAGCCCTGCTGTTGGGGAGAGCTCMRGGATTATCCGGAGAGTGTAACTTCYKCATGGAAAGAGCTTTTCAGAAGCCAGGGTTGGTCATGGGGGAAGGATTGTGGTTCTTTAGCCCACGAGAGCTTCGTCTGGGTGCCACTGGCTCCCAAAGGCTCTTTCTCCTTGGCCAATCYTGGCTCACAGTGACCTGTTGCTTTCCAGGAGCTTCTGTGCCCACCTTTGGGCAGAGCACACCTGTCCCAGGAGCAGTGGGCAGTGGAAGCAGCACCCTTTCCTTCAGGACACCCAGCACTCCTGCCTCAAGCTTCGGAGGAGTTGGCTCTTCCTTTGGTAAGGAGGGAGTTGGTGCTACAGCCTTGGGGAACTCATGGGTCATGGTGTCCCCTCAGGTTGAGGGTAGTGGTGGGGCCACATATGCTCTGGGAGACAGCTCAAGTGGTACCTGGTGGACTCTGGGGGCTGCTGAGCCTTCTGTTCCTGCCAGGGTGAGGATTGCACTGATCCCAAAGCTACAGAGACCTGAGCAACCTTTCTGCTTCCAGGTTCGTCCACCCCCACCTTCTCCATTGGGGCAGGATCCAAGACGGGCACTCGCCAACGGCTGCAGGCACGGAGGCAGCACAATCGCAAAAAGTAACGCCGGTGCTGCTGGGCCCCACTGGCCCACGTGTGGGGGGCTCCTGGCTGGAGCTGTCCCTGTGGTGGGACCAGGCCCCATCCCTGACACCCACCAGAGACCATGCTGGGATGGGATAAACCAAACTCTTGCTACTTGAACAGTTCTAGAGCCAAGGCTGGATGAACCTCTGTACATATCTGCAATGTTCCTTCCCTCACTTTATTTTGCCATGTTTAATAATGTGTAAATTTTTCCCCATTTGCTTCTTATAGCTGTTCCTSTGCCCCTCCCCAGCCCTCAGCCAGCCCCGTGGCCATGTTCCACTCAGAGACTGGCTGGGGACATGCTGTGGTTCCAAGCTGCTATCAGACATTGTCTTCATCAGGTCCCAAAATCTTTCCCATTGTTCATCCCATGACCTGGTGAACACGGTCCCATCCCTGCAGCTAGGGCTGGTTCCAGCATGGCACTGTTTTGGTGCCACAGGTGATCAGCATGGGTGCAGCTGGGTGACACCTCTTGCTGTGACTTCATGTCCTGTTCCTTTGAGCTGAGGACATGCTGTGGCATGGGGTGAGGATGGGGGTCCCCCCACCCCTYTCCCATCCCCGCTGCTCCATGGGGCTGTGGGTTGCCCCACCCTGCTCCCTCCGTTCTGCTTTATCTGTGCTCCTGTTCCTGCGCTCACTGAATCGAGTTTGGAGGAAGAGCTGAACCGTGTGTGTGGCGGCATGTTGGTTATGCCGGATTTGCTGTTTGGAGTTTCTTTTTTGGGGGGCACCAGTCCTTGGGGGGAGACGTGCCCTGGCTAATTGGGTGTTGACAGTAGCATCACTGCGTGGCTGCTCGTGCTGGGGAGTTGTCCCTTCCGTGTCATGACTGAAAGGCAGCTGGGCCAGGGGGTTCCAACTGTGGCAGTCTCTTCCTTCCCTTCCTCTCTGTCCTAGTGCCTCTTCCCCACTTCAGGGAGCTTTGGAGCTGCTCAYAGAAGGAGTCCAGAGCAGATGCGTTCTCCCTCCTATCCCAAATCTGTTGTTTTTMATTTTTCAGTTCATCCCCATCACTTTGGGTTTACCAGCCCCTAGGAACTGTGGTGCTGTCTTCCTTGTCCCCATYCAGCCAGGAGTGGGAATCCCACCCTTTCCTGCCTGGGAACTTSTGTGGGAAGAGACTGCCAGAGCTGGAGGTCACCAAAGAGCCTCCCCCTGCCCCAAGCAAGGGATGAGCACTCCATTCCCAGGAGTGCTTTGCTGCCAGGTTTTTACTCTCTGAGCCGTGTGAGTGTGTGTGCCTGCTGAGGTCTAAAAAAAAAGCAAGAAAAAAAAACAAAAAAAAAAATCACAAGTATTTAAACATTTTTTAACAAAATAAAAATTTATTTTTATATTTAAGCTAGATTGCCTTCAAATTCCTTCAAGCTTGGTTCAGTGAAGTTGCCAGTTCCCCAGCTGTTAGTGTTTGGCTGTTCCCACCCTGGCTGTACCCACGGGAATGCACTGTGCTGGGAAAGGCAGCTGCATCCTGTGGGCTCTGCCATGCTCCCCCTGCTGTTCCCTACATCATCCCCTTCCTTTTAAATGTGATGTATGTGGATGTGACTAAACCTTTTTATGTTTGTTTGGTTTTGTTTTTTAATTATTTCTCTGAGGGTGAGGAGCAGGAGCCCTCATATTACGGTGCTGAATGCCAGGGACGAGGCATCTTTCCCAGCAGGAAGGGCAGGTGATGAGCTCTGTGTGGCACAGAGGAGACACAGCCCCATAGTGAGGGGACAYAGAGGACCCGCAGGTGCTGCTGGGGGTGTTCTGGCCATCAGCCACTAGCATGGCTGAGGGCACAGTGGGCTGAGAGCAGCCAGGCTGGGAAAATGTGTCATTGGAGTTCGATGAAGCAGATGGGAAGGGGCTAGTGCCTGCCTGAGACTGATCCCAGGGGTCCTTCTCTGTGCCACACGCAGAGTGCTGGGCTAGGAGAGCACATATTCCCCATCCTTGAGGTGCCAGGGATTGGMCAGGTCAGTTCTGGCAAGATGGGGATGAGCAAGGACCAGGTGACGGATGCCCTCCAAGTAGCTGGTGCACGTGCTCCCACACAGCTGTGAGGAGCCAGGCTGTCCCTTTCTTACCCCACAGCCCCTGCTGGGAGAGYCCCTTGTACCTTGGAGGAGGCTGGTTTTTAACTGACTGAAGACTTGGATCATTCCTGGTGTGACTGATGAGGATTTTAGTGTGAATGTGCAATTTTTGTTTCCTYGCTTCTTATGTCCCTGGTTTAAAATAAAAACAACTGTGTTCACCTGGCTGTGCCCATGTGATTCCTGRCCAGGGTGGTGCTTGTGGGGTTCAGGTCCAGCACCCTCTGGCTCATGTGTCCTCTCTACCCCAGTTCAAAGGCAGGTGCAAGGCCAGGATTGTTGTTATGGTTGTTATTAATTTCTTTTTCCCCTCGCTTTGCCTCTACTATGAGCAGTGGCAATTTCAGGGCAGGACTGCACAGACTGGAAAASACAATGAARAGAAAGGAACTTTAATCTGCTTCAYCCCTACAGTGAAATGTTTTTTCAAACCTCCACATCAGGCTGGGTGGCTGGGGGTTGGAGTTCTAAACGTGATAAAAACGCCACCCTTAATCCAGCTGGAGGACCCCAGTCCTGCAGACTGCCACGTAGGGGTTGCCTTGGAGGCAAACCTGGGGCCGCCTCCAAGCTGGCTGCAAGGGGCAGCCCTGGGTGAGCAGTTCCCCCTTACTGGCACCAGGGTGGTCCCAGTGTTTGCACTCAGTCCCTGGTGTTAAAGAATTCCCACCATGACTGCAGCTGWCACAAAGCTTGACTTGTGTTCAGTCCAGCATGTGTTGCCCCACAGCCCCAGATGTGCAAGGGTCTGTCCAGAAGATGTTTCACTCTTTCACTCGCTGCTTTTTCTTCTTCCTCTTCCTGGGAGCTAGTCCTGGCTCTGTTCCTTCTCCTAGGTTCTCCTTGACTGCTGCAGGCAGGGAGCTGTGGACAAGAGCAAATGGCCTATGTCACATTCACCAGTGGTTCCTGCACTCTGCTCCCACACCGACCACCCCTCACACCCTCCCCTGGGTTTCCAGAGCCCTGACCTTGGCCACRGTGCTGCCAGAAGCAGTTGGCAGCTGATCCCCTAGTGCCCCCCTCTCACCTGGGAGCAGCAGCCCCTTCCCTGCACAACTCCAGCACAGCCACAAAGAAGCCATGRGTGAGCGTCTCTGCTGGGGAAGCACGGAGGCAGCTCTCTGCTCCAGGGAAGACAGCGAGTCCTCGGCAGGGCCAGGATGGGAAGGTGGTCACCAGCCTGTGGCATGAGAAGGGGGTCAGCACCAAACCCTTCCCTACAGCCTCCCAAATGCCCCAAGCCAGACCCACCTGAAGGCTGAACCCCAATCCTGCAGCACAGACTGAACCACATCCTCGTTCTCCTCCTGGTGTAGGGAGCAGGTGGAGTAGACCAGGCGCTGGAGAGCCGGGAAGCTCAGGGCATGGCTCAGGACCCGGCGCTGGAAACCAGCCAGCGCCTGCAGGCGTTCAGCACTCGGGGCCTCCTCCCCCGGCACCCGGGTCACCATCCCTGCGGGACAGGAGCTGTCACCTGGGGTCTGCAGACCCCCAGCCCAGCTCCAGGTGAGAAGCTGGAGTCTCACATTACCTGAGCCGCTGCAGGATGGGTCGACAAGGATGTGGGTCACCCTGCTGTATTTGGGGTCTCTGGGGTCCACAGTCAGGAAGTCCTGCTGGGCCAGCTGGCAGCCAGTGACCCCCGCCCGTGTCAGCAGYGTGTTTGTGGTGGCCACGCGCTTGGGGTCCACATCAAAGGCAAAGATCTGTCTGAAGGCAGAGCCCAATGCTCAAGAGAGGCCATRAACAGACCACCCAGCCCCCAGGAACCCTCAAATACCGGGCAGGCAGACCTCATAAGCTGCCTCCTTGGAACAGGGCCAGGGGCTGGGAATGAACCCCTATGTGACTTTGTGTCCCCTCAGATCCTTCCAATGGCCCAGCACTGTCAGAGCCACCAGCTCTCCTGAGTTGGTGACAGGTTGCAGCTCTTTCTGCCACCTTCTAGTGCTCTCTGGGCTTGGGGGGACCAGGGCTATCTCCCCAGGGCTTCCCTCCACCCCTGTACACAACCCTGCCCTCACCCCTTGTTCTTTAGGATGGCAGCCAGGTGGCTCGTCTTGTTCCCAGGGGCAGCACAGGCATCGATGACATGGGAGCCRGCAGCAGGGTCAAGGAGGAAGGCAGGGAGGCAGCTGGCCTGCAAGAGGGCAAAGACTATCTGAGAGAGGGGTAGAAACACCTGGCCCCTCCTTGGGCATGGCTGATGCTACAGGGTCACAGGGACCATCATGACACAGGCCCAAGGCCACCAGCAGCCTTGCCCAATCCACAGCCCCCTGCTCCTCCCAGCTGGCCCCCAGCTCCCACAGCGGGTTTTATATTGCAGGATTTCATCCTGACCCTTCCAACTATAGAAGCAAAATCCTAGGGGAGTCCCACAGTTTCTACTTTGGACTTAAATGCTGCAGCAAGCTGAGCCTTTCTTGAAGGAGCTCACTTTTCATCCCCATCAGTGGCTTTCCTGCCCCTGCAACCTCCTGCTCCCCAGCTCCCTCACCTTGTCCTGCAGAATTATGTGTCCTGAAGTATACAGCAGGTTGTCATGGAGGTCTGTCTGCGAAGGGAAAACCAACAGCTCCGGGAGATGAAGATCCAACAAGAATTTTTTTCCAGAGAGGGCCTTCAGCTCCTCCAGGCTGCCCACGAGACATAAGGAATATGAATATAAAGTCCTTATCACAGTGCTTACAGCAAAGCTCAGGCTAAGAATCTTCATCCCACAGTTCTTCTCCAGCTCTAGGCAGCACCCAGAGAGGCAGAACCTAAAAGTAGGGGGTGATGGAGATTCCAACGCAGCCACCCTGAGCACCAAGATCWGCAACCCTTCAGCCCACCAGACCTCATCCCATGCCACTCGCTGACATCACAGGAAAGGTGGGGTAGCAGAAAGAAATACTGACCTTACTGCCTTGCCCAAGTAAGAGTATCCCTGGCGCTTGAAGAAGTCAATCACATCGTCCACACAAGTCTTCAGGGTGTTGACCCGGACATAGCGTGGGACCTGGGTGGCTGCAGAGACTGGGCAGGTCAGACACAGTCCCCCGCACTGTCCCCAGCACAGGGAGCCCACTCAGCCCAAGCCCACTCACCTGTGGGGCTCACCGCCTGCTCCGGGGCCAGCAGGTCCTCGTTGCGGCTCACCTTGAGCCGCACCTTCATGCGGGCCAGCTCGGCCTCCAGCCGTGCCCGGTGCCGGCGGACCAGCGCCTTCCATCGGCCCCCGCACTTGACCCCCTTGCCGAAGAGCAGGTCATACACCAGGACCTGCGGGAAGGGGACGGGGTGAGCCCGGCCCTCCTGCTCCGGGACACCGCGGCACAGGGATCCCGCGAATCCGGGACAGCGCGGCCCAGGGATCCCGCGAA